GGGGGGGTGGGGGGGGGGGGTAAAGGGGGGAAGAGGGTGGTAGAGGTACTTTACTGACGTTGTCCTTGGCTTCAGTATCAACACCGAGCTTCAACAGCATCTCCACCACCTTGACATGACCGTGACTGCAGGCCATGTTCAGTGCTGTACGGCCATCCTGTGGGATGATACAAACACGCAGCATATGTCCCATGTTATACCATAACGTCACCCCATCCAGTGACATATTCAGTATCACACAACATCATACCAAACCAGCATACGCACGATAATGTATATAGCAGCATCTCGTATACGTTGTTGGTCCCAAGTGGTCACCAGCTGCAGCGCTTCTCGTGGATCCCCACAATTATTACACGCATCGTACAGCTGCTCTGCATCAACACTCATGGTAACGGTATCTCTCTCTATTCACCAAACCGCTTCAAACCGCTTTCTTGCTTCTCGATCCAAAATCAATCTCATGAGCCCCCTCCAAGTACAACTCGTCTGACAACCCAGAATTTAGACTGGGATTTGACAGGCGCGCCGTTTCCAAAACGGCAGCCGGTCAGCGGGCTCTTTGCTCTTCTCTGTCTGGTGCACCAAACGACTCACCTTTGGTCAACAGTCCTCGATGACAGTTGCGAGGACAGGTGTACTTGGTTTCCCAAGCGCACGTGAGGCGAGATCTCTGAGGCCAACTTCAGTTGAAAGCAAAAAAAATGGCAGCAGTGCTTTCAATCAAAACGTTCTGGCGTCGCCGCAAGGCCCCGACCAAGAGAGTCCCGTACCAAGCACAAGCGATCAGTCACCACGCACACACACACAAAGCAAGACACGTCAAGCAGCCCGCCGATGCCGAGACCGCTGCCAAAAAAGGGCACCACCCAAAAAAGAAGAAGCAGAAGAAGAAGAAGATCCAAAGCAAAAGCAAGCCAAAGAGAGAGGCAAGCTTGAACCAGAAGCAAGCAACACACACACACACACACACACGTTTACACCTTGTTCTTCTTCTTTTTAACTTTTTTAACTTTGGGAGAAAAGTCAAAGCAACAACAGTCTTACAAGCAAATTCCAAAGCGCCGTCAAGCTCCAACGTGTACTGCCCCTTTGCCTGCCATGACAGCTCGCCTGTTACGAGCAGCTTCCAAGGCGCTGCAACGTGTATCGCCCCTTTGCCTGCCATGACCCGTTACGAGCAGCTTCTAGAGCACCACGAAACCGGGGCTTGTGCGTACGACGTGTACTGCCTCGTTGCTTGCCATGACATTACAAGCCCGTTGGCTAACTGCCCCTCCAGTCATATCAATCTTATCCCCCCGCCCGGATGCGAACGACCATTCCTGACGGCGAGCGAGCCAGCTTCAAGCTCATGGCAATGCGCGTTCAAGAAAAGTTGGTCGGACGAGTGCGAGGCGCGCGCTCAATGACTGTGCTTCATGTCCTTCTTCTTCTTTTTTTTTTTTCTTTATTCACGCTCCTGGCTTCTGCTCCTCGGGCGAGGCGGAGTGTCGTGGCATCATCATCATCAGCATGAGCCGTTCAGGCACCGTGTCGACGCCCGCTGGTCACACTGAATTTTTCGGCAATCCTGAGTTCATCGCTGCTTCCAGCACACGGTTGCGGTACGCCTTGATACCACGACGACTGTAGAGGCGGTCGAGAAGAAACCCTTTTCCAGGGGATTCGAGTGGCATTTATCGCGATGGAGCAAGATACTTCTTGAGGTCAATTCGATCATGGAAAGTATTCACAGTGACCAGACCAGGTGCACCGTTGAAATAGCTGCGTAATCGCTCTCCTACCGAGGAGGCCTGGTGGTGAACGACGTTGGATGTGTGCAAAAGCAGTGCAAGTGTCTGGGGGAGCAGGTTTGACTGTACAACAAAGGATCCCAACGAAAACATCTAGGCAGTGCAGTAGACGACTAGTCCAGGGTGAATCTGGGCATTGTCGAACATTATCTCCTCACGAAACGTTCCTTGCGGTGTAGCAATGACAGAATCAAATCTGCAAGACAACAAAACACGAGTCCCATCAAACTGTGTGACAGAACTCGACGACATTGGATCTTGATCAACTTACCGCTCGTTGATGGGTGCATCGGACAGCAGTGGGGGAGCCAGCGCCCCGAAAAGAGGCGAAGAATGGACATAGGCACGGCCGAACATGACTCGCATAATAACGAGTCTGCGCTCGCCGTCGGGTCTAGGCGTCGCATATTGGTGACTCTACATCCAGGTTCAAGTAGACACACAGCGCCAATAAAGCAATGTGAGGACACACACGCTGAACCCTGCAAATCAACAGCACCACCATATTTTGCCGGGATGGTCGGCCAAGTAAACACCAAATTGTGACCTAAGCTGCGACCAGCGAAGCGACAGTCAAGGCCCAGGCGCACAAACTTGTCCCGCGGCGATCGCTCGGAAGCAATGCCGTAAAGCAGCAAGCACTCTTGATAGGGTGTCTCTCGAAGCAAAGCGCTGGTGGCCAGTTTTGGGTTGTGAGGAAGCGCGTCGTGGTGAGGAGCCGTTTCGCGTGGTTTGAGAGACGTCCGTCGGGACGGAATGAGAGAGTTGGTGGCGTCTTGAAGTCGATTGAACCAGCCGCGTTCGGCAAGCAATTACAGCAGTGACCAGGCTAGGTGCACCATCAGAATAGCTGTAGAATCGCTTCACCACGAAGATGGGAAAGTTTGAAGCGAGCCCATTGGCCAGTGCATAAATAACAACAAAAGACAACTGTTGTCACAAAATGGCCACGCAAGGCAACCTACCATCCAAATGCGAAGGGGAACGGATTCGTCGCTAACAATCATAACCTTCAAGCAATTCAAGACCAACACACAACTGAAGCTCTGGATTCTGCATCGTTCAGCAACATGCCATCGAGCATTTCTTCTGTACGTAATACTTGACAGGAATAAGTCCTGGAATCGAGAAAACCAAACGACATCCTCCAGATGATCTGGAGACTCCACGTTCTTTTCAAATTTCCAAGTCATCAATGGCAAGGTCATAGATGGTGGTTTCACTGTGTTGCAGCGCCTCCTCCTCATTTGCGTTGCGGTCAAAGACGGATGGTTGGCATCTTTCACCCACGCTAGCAGCAGGGAAGAAGCCAAAGCCGATGGAAGCCTGAGCCGAGTCAGTGCTGAACGCCATGTTCTCAAAGCTAGGACCCTGCAGGTACGAAAAGATGTGATCAGTATGAAATTCTCTTTGGCAGTACCAAGCATGATGAAGCCCGAGAAAGCAAACTCGAGGACACGTACCTCAGTCATCATGTGACCATCAAACTCGTTGTCGTAAATTTCATCGCCATTGATTTGACTTTCGTATATGCCGGCACCCATTCCTTCGGTACCACTCATGATCGCGCGAATGCCTGATCCTTCACTGTCTTCAGTCGGATCCCCAATGGCTTCATACAGCCCATCGCTGTCCACTTCGGGTTCTGCCAGGGAAAAGTTCTTTTTTCTGATAAAAGCTGTCAGCAAATCCACCAATTCCAAAAACGTGGGACGGTTGTCGGCTTCATGCATCCAGCACATTCGTGCAATGGCATCCGCCTGGCCGGGGGCCTGACGGGGCTTTGGTAAACGATAGCCGTCTGCCAAAAGGCTTAATATATCAACATTGCGGTGCTTTACGTATGGCGTACCGCCAAGGGAGAATATCTCCCACATAGTCACACCAAAAGACCAGACTAGACAGAGAATGAGTAAACACGAGTGTGAGACATGTCGCTGGCGATTAGATCAACAAGTAGAAACATGAAAGACCGTACCGTCTGACTTTGAGGTATAGATGCGGTAGCCCAGACTTTCAGGAGCCATCCATTTGACAGGCAACTTGGTTGCCGTCGTTTCGTAGTCTTCGTTTTCAATGCTCCGCGCCAAACCAAAATCACAAATTTTGCATGCAAGGCTTTGGCTCAGCAGTACCTAGACACATTCCCGGTAAGAACAGCAGGAGAACAAGCTTTTTTTTTTTTTTTTTTTGCATGGTATTTGATATGCACAGTGCTCTGCACATACGTTGCGAGCTGCCAGATCACGATGAATCACATTTTTCCGCTCCAAAAACGACATGCCGCTGGCAATCTGGAGACAAAAGTCGGCCAGCTGGCGACTCCCAAGCAACTGTGGCTTGCTCTGGGATGTCCGGCACTTACGCAGATAGTCACGCAGGTTGCCCAACTCTGCTAACTCAACCAGTAAAATATGAGGCTCGTCGCGCAAACAGTGCCCAAAAATGCCGATTATATTGGGGTGAGCTCCTATTTCCTTCATCACCGTCATTTCCGACAAAAAGTCTTGACGAGCTCTGAATGGCGCCCCCGGTTTGAGGGCTTTGGCAGCACAGCTGCGCTCCTCGCCACTATGACGGTTGCAGAACCATGCTCGAAACACCTGACCAAAGGCACCATTGCCAAGTTTCTCCCCCAAGCGCACGAACCGTCGCTCTACTTCCCAAATGTCTGCGTCACGTACGTCAAAGAACGCGTACAAGTCCTCGGATGTCGCGGGTACCGTCACGCGATTTTGCTTACGGCGATGCAAGATGAAGACTAGAATCAAAAGCAGTAATATTACGCCACCAGCTGCCCCACCAATCACTATTGTCGTTAGCGAATTCGAAGCAGACGTTCCCTGACGTGTCTCCGAGTCGACAGTGTCCACGTCATCGTTTGTATCCACGGCCACAGTCACATCAGAGTTGTTCCATGCTCGAATCATTCCAGCCAGCGCTTCAGCTGGCACCCACGCAAGGGTGGTCGTGGAGCGCATGCACAGCTCAAACGAAGTGTTCGTGGCAGCCTGCAGGGAGCGACGGCGGGAGCTGCTGCTAGACGCCGAGCCGGGAAGCGTGTTGAAGCGATCCTTAGTTGTGTCGGCACCGGCATGGCGACCGACAACAAAGATGTATGGATAACCCAGCGCACCACGAAGCTGCTCCTCAAAGGCACGCGCAGCGGGTGCTAAGATGATGCTCGCCGCATATGTGATCGTGACAATGTCATCATCTGCTGGGAGTATAAAATTGTCTACAATCACGGTGCGCGCTGCCTCTGCCGGGTTGCCATACCGATCGTTGGTGCGGTATTGAACTAAGTATGTGCCAGGGAATCGCGGATTCACACGGTCTGCATTCAACACGAGCACGTGCTCTGACAAGTCGTCTGACTCATCAAACACGGTGAACCCTGGATCAATAAAGGTGGTGTCGTAGGGCACATGGTAGCTGCCGGGGTATGTGAGTGTGAGGACAGGGGGAGTCGTGTCCACGATGAGGTAGCGGAAGGTGCGTGTCGCCGTGTTGCCCGCTCCGTCCATCACACTCGCATTGACAACATAGAGCGTTCCCACAGGCTCGTCAAGAAGAAGCAAGGGGCGTCCGCCCGAGGCACCCCAAGGGCGACCCATCTCGGCAAAGTCGTTAAAGTTGTGGCTCACTGGCTCGAGCAATCCGGTTCGCAAGACATTTGGGGTCCCCTCAGCCGTGCGCGGAGCATAACGTGCCACGCTCAGACAAACCCAAGAAGAGATATCGCCATCGAGGTTGTCAGATGCAGTGAGAGGCAGCTCGAGCTGGTTGGCCGCGCGCGTGTATTCAATCTGGCCGGTGGGCGTGCCCGAGGTGGCAATGACAGGCGCTGTATCGTCGCGCAGTGTAAGTACCACGCCGCGCAGGGAGTCAGAGTTGCCAGCCGCATCGGTGACAATAAAGTCGACAGTGTATGTGCTGCCGGCCGGCGCATCACCTACGACCTGAGTGTTGGTGCTGCGAATGCGCTCCGCGCGCGCCTGCTGATAGGCGTTGGACGCAGCGGAACGGATTCGATCGACGGGGCATGTTGGGGTTGAGGGTAGATCAAGCACGTTCGTGCCGTGGGTGTTCATATCCACAACGCTGTCCAACACCCCATCATTGCTGTCGTAGGCAGTCACGAGGTCGCTAATGTGAAAATCAGTGCCCGAGGTGACGTTGGAGGTGATCAAAGTCAACATGGGGGCGGTAGTATCCACCAAGAGCACTCGCAGCGAGGTGGCGTTTCGATTGCCTTGCGAGTCGGTGGCAGTGATTTGCACGTTGGCACGATAGGGCGTCATCACGTGGGTGCGCGGCAGCGCCGACACGTTGGTGGAGATGGTGGGCGTGGCCTTGTAGTTGTCGTGCACGGAATACCACGAGGCATTGATGGAATAGGCGGCACCGGCCTCGAGGTGTACCTCCGAGGTGATGGCTTCAAGGCTGGGAGCCTTGGTGTCCACCACGGTCAGGTTGCGAGTGGCATGAGCCGTGTTCCCAACATCATCTCGGGCAGTGTAAACAATGCTGTAATCAAAGGGCAAAGAGGGGGGCTGCAATTCACCACCAACGGTAACGCCATCTGGGTAGGTGATGCTCAGGTCAACATCATCATCCAACTGATCCTCGGCCACCGCATCAAACTCAAAGTACAAGTCACCCGCCTCGGCAGTCAGCCGGGTGGCGTTGAGCAGTGTGATGGTGGGTGCGAGGCGATCCAGCACAAGAACATAGCGTGTGATGGAAACGGCGTTGCCGCTGCGATCGGTAGCCATGTAGTCGACGGTGAGGACCGTGCCGTTGGGCACCTTGAGATTAAGCGCGACAGGCTCCACCGTCACGTCGCCGATGGCCATGGTATCGTAGTTATCCCGAATGCTAAACCCAGGCTCGGACCAGGTGGAACCCGCCTCAACGGTCACGTTGACACCCTGCGTCAACGAGATCACCTGTGATTCATCAATTACAAGTGAGCAATAAGCGTACAGTGAGATGCTGCTCAACAAAGACGACTCCACTGACGTGTATGAGCGCATAGCAAAGTTGGTGGGGCACTTACGGGAGGCGTCGTGTCGACGACATGGACGGTGCGCCGCACAGGCGAGGCGGTCAGGCCTTGGGAGTCGGGCGTGTGCATGGAATATACGACATAGTAAGTACCGAGGGTGTCAATGTCCAGGGCGCTTGTGTTACTAGCTAGCGTGTTGTTGAGGTTGTTGGGTTCGCCCTCATCGATCACATAGCCCATGGGGTCGTTGAAACGAGTGTGCACTTCGAGCGTCATGACCACCGGGCCAAGAAGCACGATGACCGGTTTTCGGGCCGCAAAGATGATCACCTGAACAACCAAGACACCCTTGTTCTTGGCACTGTCCTCGCCAGAATAGGTCACATCATAAGTGCCGACTTCGTCTGAAGATTAGCCAAAGCAAGATTCAAAGAAGAAGAAGCCAATGGGCAAAGAGGAGATGAGTGGAAGCATATGCCGTTCAGACACCGCATGACCACCACAAAAAATAAATGCAAAAGCATGCAGACGACGCAGGACCCCAGAGGCCATAGAGCCAGGATTAAAGAATGAAGAAAGAAAGTAGAGGCTCACCTGGCTGAACATTGTTGGTGTGCGTCACGACAATTCTTTCGCCACTCGTATCCGTGGCTGTCACCGTAGGATAGACAAAAGTATTGGTCAGAGCTTCGAACCGGACGATGGCGTTGGGGGCCAACGTCAACTCGGGCGGCGTGACATCTAGTGAGCACAAAAGTCAGACATCAGACAAGGCGAGGGCAGAAACTCAGTACGCGACTGATTTGGCAACTACATGCCAAAACGATCCAGTGCCAGCAGAGGGTCAATCGCACCAGTGCATTGAGTAAAATCGGGATTGACAGTATAGCCAGCTTGGCAGGTCTGGCAGTCGGATTGGCCAGCCTGTGCTTGGTAAGTGCCAGCAGAGCAGCGGGCACACGAGATGGAATTCTCACTGGCAGAGAACTTGCCCGCGGGACACTGTGTACACGCCGAGGCTTGAGCCAGCTCCGAGTAGGTGCCAGCTGGGCAAGCCGAGCACACTGACGCGCTCGCAAGGCTATACTTGCCCGCTGCACAATCGATGCAGACAGTACTGTAGGGCTGGCCTTGATATTTGCCAGCAGCACAGGGGATGCAACTTGACGTCGTCAAATCCAGACGCGAACCTGAGAATTTCGCAAGTTAAGGCATCAGCGATACAATCAGGGCGTTGCGTATGGCTTATCTGAGTAGGCTTTTGAGAAGCAGAATGAATACACGTACCAACTCCACAGCCGTCACATGAAGTTTGACCGGTTTGATCCTGATAAGCGCCATGGCTGAGATCGCAAGCTGGACAAGGAAGATGAAAACGCCCACGGGAACGCATGAGGCGCGCGCACGTTGCCAAGTGAATACCCAGAAGAGCATCCTTTGGTGCTGAAGACCAAAAGATTACGACAAAGGAGGAAACGAAGTGGTCTCCATCAACATACGTTTGCACGAGGTAGCCGCGGAGGTATCAGAATACGAGTCAACTGGGCAGGGCAAGCAAGAGGTTTGCCCTGCACTGGCTTGGTAATTGCCGGCCGCACACGCTGTGGAGTCAAAATCATCGACAAGTCGTGAGGCACACACGTTAACGCGGAGAGCTGGGCGTGTTGAGAGCCGTGAAACGAAGGAGGACAAAGAGGAGAAGGTCATGGCGGAGGCAACGGGTGAGCAAGCAGCTCAAAAACCCTGACCATGGCATGTCGAGGAAATGTGTGAGCTGCTGGGTTGAACAGTGCCTAGGTGATCGAGACCGCCATCATGCCGTGCAATCCAATTGAAATGTTGCGCAAGTACAAACGTGTCAGAGCGCGCAGTCGTGCCAAAAGAACGATGTGGAGGGGCGGAAGGGCTAAAGTACGGGATGGCGTACCGGCAGCGCAGATACCACAGGAGTAATCCGAGGTCAGGGAATCTGGATTGGTCACATATTCGCCGGCTTTGCAAGTGTTGGTCTTCCGTGTACACTGTACAGCCAAGCCCTGGCTGGGTTGATATGAATCTAACAAAGCCATTGTAGACGGGTGTTGGAGAATGAGTTGACAATGAGCAGTTGTGTCCAACACCTGCAAGCAGGCAAAGAAATAGTGCGCAAAACAAAAATGGTGCGCACTTGAGCTGCAGGCGGCGCAAATGTTGTCGGCCGTCTTGTCACCCTTGTTTGAAACCTCTTGGCCAGGTGAGCATGGCACAGATTTCTGATAGCACTGCTGGGCTGAGTTACCATTGATATCCATCCAAGTACCTGGGAATGAACCAACGATTATCAAGCGGGTTGAATAAAACCGAGGGGTGCGGGGGGGGGTGCGCATATAATCATGTATCCGAGACAAAATGATACAAGGACAGTTCGAGGGATTGGCATACCGTCGGGACACACGGCGCAGATGCGATCACTTGTAGTGCTGCCACCGTTTGAGGCGTAGTGGCCAACAGGGCACGTGTTGGTCTTGGTCTTGCAAGAAGTCTCCAGGTGGTTGGTCGCATCTTGGTAGGAGCCCGCCGGGCAAGCAAGGCAGTTTGTGTTTGAAGACGAGCTGCGTTGGACAGGGACAACGCGGTGGGATACGACAAGATGGACGTTAGAGTAGGACTCCATCATACTGACGCAAAGGCGACAAGGCGTGGTATACAGACAAATACTAGAAATACAGACAAAAACATCCGTACCTGCCACCGTTGGCGTCGTAAGTGCCAGCAGGACAGCGGCTCTTTGTTTTGCATGAGGTAGAAAGATGGCTGGCGCTGTCCTGGTAGGTACCTAAATTTGGAAACGAAGAACACGAATGAAGAGGGCGAGGCTCGGGGTCTGGTGTGAATTTGGGGTTCAAAGCCAGTGTATGTTGTGCAGCATGGCCACGGTCTCTTAGCACCACTAAGGAATGCATGGCACATGAACACATACCAGAACCGCAGCTCAAACAGCGAACCGTATTGTGAAAGGTGCCCTTGCCGCAAGTACCTGCAAGTCAGCGTGATCAGCCATGGTGAGCAAAAACAAATGCTGGCTGACCGTACCAGCACCAATGGCAGAGCCAGAAAAGCTCGGCAGCAAGGCTCGGATGTCGGGTCAAAACGTACTGCACACATCGTTGACAGTGTCCAGCCCAGAGCTACAAGCTAATCAGACAGACACACGACCCACGCATAGACACAAAGCGCCAGACAAGAAAATGAGGCAAACTATCTGCGCAAATGCGCCTGAGTGTTGCAAACATAGAGAGACATGAGGAATCCATTTTAAGACACGAACAATTGCAGTAACCAGAAGAACTGCCCCAGCCTTGAGGGCAACGGCAACCAGAGTTGCAAATGACCGAGTCTGCCAACAAAACCAGAAATGCAAGGTACGGTAAGACACAAAAAGCACGATAGGGGATGGTCGATGTACGGCACTGCAAATAGATGGCGTGACGTACCGCAACTGCTATCGCAGCTAGCATCGCAGTCCATCATAGCCCAATCGCAGCTACTATCACTGCAAGTATAAACAGCAAAATGTTGAATGCGTACTGATTAACAAGTCTGGCAACTCGCCCGCATACTCGCTCACTCAAGGGCAGCGTCAAAACGTGAGCAATGACAAACCAGGTGTCGTCGCAACGTTGGTTGCATGAGCCACATCCTGTGCCGTTGTAGCTTTTATCCGAGAAACGGCGCTACAATTGCAGGAATGGAAGGTTGTGGGCGCAGTGACGAGCACGCAACATCAGGATCAGAGCACAGGCTAAAACTCATCAACAAACCGTACGCGTGACCGATTCGTCATTGGACGCCGGGCGGACAACAAGCTCTGCAAGGCGTGTGGAGTGAAGCGAATATTCCGAGGTAATGAGTTTGTTGGGCAGAACGGGCGCCACGTGGACGTCTTTGAAGCGAAAGTTGAGCCACCGGAAACCCAGGTCGGCTTGAAGAAGCTGATTCTTCAGCTCGTTGCAAGCTCGCATGGTTGCTGTGAGGCTACATTCATCGACCACCATGTCGATCCAGGTGGAAGAGGGCGGAACCACTTGGTAGGTGGCGTGGGCGCTCAGGCCGGTCGTGTTGGCTCGGGCAAAGTGAACGACACCGCGCGGAACATAAAGCAGCTCGTTTTCCTGCAGATCCAAGGTGCGGCACTCCATTCCGGCAAGTTGTTCGTCCGTATAGGAGGTGCAGCCTTCAGGCGGGGACAGCCAAGCAAGTGTGAAAGTGTGATTTACCGTCCAGCGCCAAGAGATGTACTCGAGTGTTTTGGAAATCAAGCACCTTGAGCGAGCTCGCTTAATCCAGAGGGCCTGCCCACAAGGAAACGATGACAAACCTTGGAAGGCCGACTTGGCCAGCTCGGCGCGCAGGGCCAGGTCTGCAAAGGTGCAGTCCAGGCAATCGGGCGCGGTGGGCACGCAGAGGGTCCAAAGCTTGCTGCCAGCCCACTGGTGCACAAAGACATCACCACCATCAGTATGCGGGCTCAGGGCCCGTTGTCCGGGTGGTGAGATGTAAAAGTGCTCTGACATGACCACACCCAGATGCGCTTGAATCTGCTGAGATATATCATTGCTAACGGTAAAAGCGTGCATGGACGAGGTCAGGGAGGGCTCTTGTTCAGGCTTGATCACGAGCGAGTAGCCAGCTGTGAGAAGATTGTCCACGGTTGTGCCCTCGATGGCTCCATCAATTGAATCCAAGACGACAACCTTGCCGGTGCTGTCACGCAAGGAGACGACGCCAGTCTCAAGGAGCTGATCCATCGTTTGATCGAGCTGCTTGTGCAGGAGCGGCCAGTCGGCATATTCGGGCAATGTGGAAACGACCACGGTATCAATCTGAAGCACGGGGTCGACCATGCTGATTGGATTGGCTTTGTTCGGTGTGGTCGAAGCAGTCGTATCAATGGGCGCGGCGTGAGCCATGGCAGCCAGAAGCCACAGGCTCGTGGCCACGACTCTGGCTCTGACGCTTCTAATCATGAGGCTCGGTGTTGGCGCCAAATGTTTGCCAAATCTGAGGCCGCTGCTGGTTGTTGCTGAGGTTGGCCCTCCCAAGGAAAATCACCTGCTTCATTTCGCTTGACAGCTCCACGCTGTTTTTTCGTCGGACTCGCTTGACTTCAAACGTGAACCTTGATGCACTTTTTGACACTTGCCAGGACTCCAAACGTCTACCTTAACACACAACATACACTTGCCAGTCCGACATTTCGTCGTGGGCGGAAATTTCAGAACACCTTTACTACCTCATTGCTTGATTATCAACCGGCCAAGACTCTTTGAGCTTCCGTGGCAAGCATAGCAAACGCCTCTTTGCCAAACCTCGGCTCAAAAAGGACATTTGACACCCAGCACTCAGCCAGCCACTCGATGTCAAAAAAATAAAAAATAAAAAGGGCCAACAGCACCATGTATTCCCATCTGGTCACCCACGATAGTACTAGCATGGCCCAACATGGCTTAACTGCGGCGATCGGACGAGAGCCGGTGTATTCCATGTGGTATGATCGTTGGCGATCACTCATCGCAAAAGTGTTTATATAAAAGCTTTTTGTAACAGTCTCTTTGAAACACCTTGAATCGCTTGTGCCCTTTTGCGAATTTTTTGAGGGGGCTGGTGTGAAAAGGTGTGTCAAAGGGTAGACTCTTAGGGGGCTTAACTTGCATCGCAGCCCCTGCTTCCACTTTTCGATTCGTCAACAGACGCAAGCTCCATGGCTCGACCTGGAATCAAGTTTGTGTCGCGCGCTGCCTTTCTGCGTGATGGCCGCTTCTCGGCCAGTAAGCGACGCGCTGTCGTCAAATCAATGGAAGCTTACGGCAGCCAGCTTGGTACACTGTATTACCTGATGGGTCTGGAACAATTGTTGGAATACAAACGAGCCGGGCATCCCGTCGAATCCATCAAGCGTGCAATCGCGGTGCTTCTGCTGATCGCCACCCAGATCCAAGAACACTTTGCCAATACCGTTATGTATAGAATTGCAGATGTCGGAACACCGCACGTTGATTTTGATCGCTTCCCCGAGACAGCATGGTCACGGTATTTCGGCATGGCCAATGCCGGTCAATTTACGCGCTTGGCCGCGGCTCTTTCCTCTCGAATGCGCAGCAAATTTTCGGTTCCGCTCAAGGAGGCTCTCCTCGCGTTCCTTGCCCTGTTCCATCGGTCATCGCGGCTGAGCGATGTCATTCGTCTACTTGGAGTCTCTTGGACTGTTTCCAAAGCGTCGCAGATTATCAATACATTTGCCGTCACCGTTGCTCAATTGTTTCAAGCGCAGTTGGCTTTTGACGCGCGCTACTTTCGGCCCGACTGGGTGGAGGCTGCCGCTTCAGCCGTTGCGGCAAAACATTCGCCTCTAGCGGGGATCTGCGCCTTTATCGATGGTACAGACCAACCCATAGCGCGTCCAAAGGGTAACGACGTCCAGCGCGCGTTTCATGCCGGCAAGGATGAGGTATGTACCCTGTCGGCTTGACTGGCGCAGTTGATTGTGAATACTCTGTGCGACCCTTTGAATGTGCTTGGTTTTCTCGCACGTGATCATCAACAATCCAGCAACATACCATCCGCTATCAACGCATTGTGGCCCCAAACGGGCTCATAATTAGCTTTACCGGGGCCTGGAGAGGTGAGGCACCACCCGACTTTGTGGTTGACGAGATTGTGCCTTATCGCTGCACCCTGTTTTGTAGGGCCGATGCAAGACGCCCATCTCCTGGAGCAATCAGGCATCCTGGAGAAACTTGAACAGTACTGGCCAGCAAGCAAGCCGTGGTGCCTGTTTGGAGATTCTGCTTATCCTCGCTCCACTCGCTTGGTGCGTCCGGATGAAAGAGATGGGCATAGTGGATCACCCGAGTTTGAAGCGAAGAATCAAGATCTCTGGCACCTTAGATTTATGGTTGAATGGGGGTTTGGGGCCTCCAGCTACGGCATAGCATCGCGTTTCGCGGGGGTGATGGACCCTCGTCTAATGATGGTGCAAAAGCGTCCGGTGTCTGCCTACATGCTGACAGCCGTGCTATTGAGCAACATGATTGTTTGCGACGACCAGACAAATCCCGTTGCTCAGTACTTTGAGCACAAACTGCGTATACCCACCCTAGACGAGTATCTGACGCCTGGGCCGCTTCCCACGAGCTAACATGTAAAGCCACATGTGGTGGCAAGCGCCTCCCCAGCTTCACTTGCTGACTCTCCATGACCTTTGTTCATTTATTTATCCATGTTACATCCGCATGTCAATTTACCCGTCAACTCATTACATGAACTAGTGCCGTGAAGCTCGCCCGCGCGCGTGCCTGGCAATTCGAGATGCGCAGACCGTAGCGCGGTCGTGTGACCGGCCCGCAGATGATGACAATATTTTTGCTGACATGTTTCGTCTAATTTTAGACTGACACTTGGTTTTTACAACAAAAGAGCGTAAGCTCACTGGCATAAGCTTGCAAGAACAGAACATTGTCACCAACGCAGTGTCCATCTCTTTACCATCTTGCGTATCTTCCCTGCTTCTCTGCTTGCAGAAATATTCTCTTTTTGACAAGGCAATTTACCTAAAGATTGTGTTTGCTTGCTTACGACTTCTCTGCACCGAGAATCCACCCTCTGAACACTAAGCATACTCCAGTTCAACTCTCTGCTCTTGATCGACTGCCGTTTTCACTTTTTCTGTTTTTTTTTATTTTTATTTTTATTTTTCTCTTTTTTTTTTGGTGCCGCGCGGTCGCTGCCGATTGAACGAGCAGCGCGGGCTTGGATGCTAGCAGCCCATCACGGTGGTTGCCGCGTGCAGCATCAGCTCAAAAATCCCCGGCTGCTGGCTTGATTGAAGGAGACTCACAGCGTTTTTTCATCCGTCAGCGCCAGACAAATCAAGTCGTCACGAGAGCAGCACCTGGTGCGCGCGTGCGAGCGGTCGAGCGCGCATTCGCCGCCTGAGCCCGAGCTGACGCAGACAGTGATCTTTGCTCTGAAAAACCATCGCAAGTCACATCTGCGCTGTATACCTCCCTTCTTATTATCTCAGCTGGCCTTTGTTCTCGTTTTGACGGCTGCACTGCCTCGCGCAGCCCTGCGCTGGCAGGGCCGATTGATTGATTCCAGCCCGTGCCTCTCAACAGAACAGCGCGTGCCAGGCCTAGACCTCAGTCATGTCAGACCACTCGCGGTGGTACCATATCGGCATTGATGCCTGTGGTACACACAACCACAATGACCAAGCGTGCGCTCGGTTCGTCGACTCTGCATGATTTTGCTGTCAGCTCACCTCCTTGTTCGCAACCTGCTCAACCTCATGCATCACCGGGTCTGCCCCTTGTTTTTCCCTGGCTGGTATTCTCTTTTGGCTCATCACCCAGAGCAATTATCATGTCCCTCCTTGGCTTGACGACCTTTATTCTCTGCTCCATCAAGGTCCGCGCTCGACTTCTGCTAGAAACACAACAAGCGGACTGTGCCAGCCACCGCTCCCAGCACAGCCTGAGATGCTCATTCCATCCAATTGCCTTGCAGCTATACCGCATTCTACGTGGCTATTGCATCGAGAAATACCATCTGGCTGTCTTTATGCTGGCCTGGCTCGAGTCGCTTCTCCTGTTTCTTCATTGGTTTTACCTCCGCCGCGTGGAGATTCACTTTGTCTGCCTTTATCTTCAAGTCAATCAGGTGAGCAAAATCAAACCTGGCCTGCCAATTGGTCTTGGCCCCTGTGTTCCCCCTTCCCCTTTTTTCTTTTGTTTTTCATTCTCAGCATGCCATGCGCTGCCCGCTCTATGGTAATTCGCTATTTGCCTCTTCTAGTACTTGTGCATCAGCTTATTCTACTCGAGCTTGGCCCTCAAGATCACCGAAGCTCCACATTTGTGGAATAAGTATGTACCTCACCACTGTGTGTCCGTTTCAACTACAGCAGCCAATCCCACACACACACACACCGCGCGCCATCAAACATAGTCACGGCAATTTGATCTAGCAGTCTAACCAACTTCGCTCGGTGATGGTGTTGACGCAGAGTGGTGGTGCCCGTGGGCTCGCTTCTTTTTGCCTACTTCTCGGGGGCGCTCATTTACTCGTTGGTGAGCATTGTGGCCAACTCAGCCGAGTGCAAGCAACCACCGTGGCTCCTCTTCTCCACGTCCAAGCTCCTCTTGGCGCAATTTTTTGCCATTTCAGCTCGCAAACTCATTCAGTATGTTTGCCGGCCCAGCCCCTTGGTAATCGACAAGAGGGCTCTCTATATGCTGGTATCACTGATCACGATTCTTGGCACCCCATGCACGTCCTTGTAGAACGATCGAGGCTGCCAACACTGACGTCGACTACAAGCGCCTCAAACAACGCGTCGTGTGGTCTCTTGTCTGGGGCTTTGAGATCAGTGCCATTGCAGACTTTACCGTTGACCTTGTCTACAACCTTGGTTCGTGGCCCCCATTGCTGTTGCACCTGGTCCGTTTGCTCGAGGGTGGGGTCTTATTACACATCTTTTTTTGTTTTTTTGTTTTTTTTTTTTTTTTTTTCTTTCCTCTCTCTCCTTTTTGTCTTTTGTCCGTGTTCCGATTCTCAGGTTCTCGAAATACGGGCTGTGATCAGGTGTTTGGGGTAAGTGTACGGGCGTGAATCCGGTTCGCGCGCGTTGTGTCTGCTTGGTAGATTCAAGTGCTCATGGCGCCCCGCTTCCCGCGCCGTGCTGTAACAGCAACCAAACACAGCGCAATACACAGCCGTGAGCATTACCTTGCGCCTGCTGACAAATTTGATCCCAATTTGGGTCATGCTCTACCAGCTTCGCCCAGCAGCACGCTCCGTCTCGCCGGCGCGCGCGGTAAGCCACGTGGTCACCTACCAGCCTGACGACCTTCTCTCGTTGTTGCTTCTTTTTCTTTTTTTTTTTTTTTTGAATCTGACCCTTGGGCCATGGCGATCCTTGACATGTCAAATAACGATGTGATCACGTAGGCTGGTCTTCATGATGCCGATGTGGAGGAGCCGCGGACTTTTACCTCAGCCCCTGCCTTTGTGTTTGATGACTTTGTGTTTGATCTTCCCGAAGACGGTATGTCCGTGATCCCATGAGTCAGACCTCGGGACCTCGTCACTTGCGCTCTCGATGCTCGATATAGCATATGTCTGCCGCGCTGATGGCTCTTGCTGGTGGCCGGCCTGGTGCGCCTTCGTAGATGATGAGTTGTCACGGCGACTGCTCGATGACACCTATGACAGTATAAATACACCTTGAGCAACCGAATTTCTTGTTAGGATGAGTGTTTGTGCCCATGTGTGGCCGATAGTCTTGTTTTGTCTGTTGCTTGCTTGCGCGTGATTTTCAGTTTTATGATTTAGGCATTTTGGAATACGGTGCTGTGTTTGTTTGTGTGTCTATGTGAGGCGTGTTTTGCCGTTTTTGGTGTTTTTGATGGTTCAGGGACGACCAGTTCTCTTTGCTCTCGCTCTTTCTTTTTCTCGCAATGCTGTGTTTCGGGTGGTCTTCGTGTTTTGGGCATGACGAATGAAATGTCAAGCCACAAATAATGTTGTGGTCTTTACTGATTCGTTTTTCGGCGAATTGCGAGCTCTCTCAAGCATTTGGCGTCTTCCATTTCTCACGGTCGAAAGATGAAATTTCCATCGAAAGGATCAGATAATCCTTCACTGCCATATAAATTCACAAAGACGGAGCTGCATAATGTCTTTTAATCCGATGTTGTAAATCAGACGGAATGTTAGCGTCAAATCCGTGCTTCCACGCATTTGAACACTCCCACTGCTTTCGCACACACTCAGCATCGGTCGCTATGGGTCTTCCTATTGGTATTCCATAGCTACGACGACCTCACACATTGACACCTACTTTTGGACCCCCTGGGCTTGATCCTCCTCGTGGCAGTCACATGAGTAAACACCGCGTGTGACGCGGTCCCCACGATGCCTGGGCAGCTGCCCTGGGGCAATAAGCTTGTGGCTACTGTTGTTTCCCTTTGTTGTGACACCTGCGGTCGGGCACGAGTTGCACTTTCCCTATCCTCGGGATTGAGCGACTCTACAGCTATTCTAACGGTGCACCTGGTCTGGTCACTGTGAATGCTTGCCGACCGCAGGTACGTCAAGCCCTCTGCCATTCTGTCTTCCCCTTGCTCTCCTGTGTGCTCTGCTCTCTTGTGTCTTTCCCTATCCTCGGGATTGAGCGACTCTACAGCTATTCTAACGGTGCACCTGGTCTGGTCACTGTGAATGCTTGCCGACCGCAGCTGGTTCAATTGACCTCAAGACACCACCAAAGCTTTCGCTCCGTCCCGACGGACGTCTCTCAAACCTCTCTCAAAACGCTTCCCCAAACTTACGCGCTTCCTCGCAACCCAAAGACGGCCTCCAGACGTGCTGGAGCCTGACACGGAATTGCACATAACAGGAATGCAAACGCGTCACGCACGTAGCGTCGTCCCCATCTGATAGCCCCTAATCCTCCTGCATCCGAGCCACCTCCGAGTCTGTTGAAGAACCTTAGTACTTGGTGCTCTTCGCGTTCTTCGCCTGCTTCAGTGCACGATGCCATGTTGTTGGGGCCCCTTGGCCGCCATTGCAAAAAATTAACAAAAACGCAAAAAAAAAAAAAAATCGGCTCAAGTCGACTCTCTTTGTTTACCAAATGATATTCTGACAAACTTTTGAGTGTCACGATTGTCAGAAAGATTCCTTGCGTGTTGTCTTGTGGGTACATGTGGGATGTTCACGTGAGGGCACCTGCAGGAGCCGTTCATCAATTCTGCGCGGGTAAGTGGCCCTGATGTCCACTCACCCATACCCACACATCTCATGTAGGCTTCCAAGGCTCGAAAAATCGCGGAGCTGCTACGATACACTTTCATGATGACATAACGTGACCAAGATCACACTTATTCTATCTACAAGCCCATGAAACCCATGACACCCTTAGATCATACCAAGTGAAATTGTTGCTCGGTCGAAATGTACCTCGGTATGTATGTTGACCCCCTGGCTCTGGCTCCGGAGTGCGTTTGACGAAGACAAGCCCAAAAAACAGCGAGCGTCGAGCAAATGGCAGCGGTATCAAGGCCCGATGCATCTCCTTGTGTTTGATATCGTTGACTTGAAAACTGAGAGCTGACTCATGCAGGCACAGTCAACCTTTAACCGGAAGACTGAGCTGGACCTGTGAGCTGCATGAGGATGATGTACGATGATGCTGATTTCCGCTTCCTGCCTGTGTGCAAGTGTTGCCGACATCGCGCGCGACTTTTGTGACTTCCTAGGCTTGGCCTGGTCTGTGTGCTTCACACTGGGCCAGTTCCGAGCCTTCTGAGACCGGCAAAGCTAGCTCCTTCCATGTCTACCGGCAGCTGTGCCCTTCTCTATCCTCGAACCGGCTTCGAGGCGCGGCGTTGCACGTCGTCATCGCCCCACACTTCTAAAGGTCATTCACCTTATTCCTTATCACGTAAGGCCCCAAGTGCCCTTGTACGATAAGCTAAAACGCCCAACAACGAAAGGGGCAAGCTAAAGTGGATAACAGTGGACACAGAGTCGCATTGAGAACAAAGAAACAAAAGAATAAACAAAAGAAACAAAAGAAAAGAACAAAAGAAACAAGAAAAACAAAAGAAAAGAACAAAAGAATTAGAAGAGAGCACAGAGATAGGAGCGGTGGGAGGGCTGGAGTCAGAGAAGCGAGTTCCATGGGTGTGAGGTAGGAGAGAGAGCAGAGGACTCGAATACAATTACAGAGAGAGAATCGTGGACAGCACCCAAAATCACCACAGACAAGGGTAGAACAAGACTACAACAGAGAACATGAAGACAACACAATCGATTCCAGAGAGACAACATCACACAGCGCTCCACCCAGACACAGCGACACACCGTCAAGAAAAACCAAGAGAAACAGGCAGGTTTACCAAAGGCACACACACCCCGCACGACTGCCATTTCCAAACACGGCGCTGCCGCGGGTTTCGTTTGCTTGCGCGGCTCTGCTTCATCTTTATCTCCCCGAGAAGGTCACAGACCCCGGTACGTACGTACCGGCATCGGTACGGAGCAGCAGCTCAGGGGACTCGGGTTTCCTCGGGCACTTGGCTCTTTTTTTCTTCTGGATTTCAGGATCCGCTGCTGCCGTATTTGGCAGATTGGGTCGGGATCAAGGGTTCCCGTCGCTTGACGGCGGGGTTTTGACTGCCACTTGTCAATGGTAAGATCCCTTGGACTTCACGCCGTGCTCCTGCTCCTGCTGCCACTGCTGCCACTGCTGCTGCCTGCCGCCTCTTGTTCCATTGTCGGGCTTGAGACTCAGCGAATGCAATATTGGCACGCGTTGGTCATGGGTGTTGTTGGCTCTTGTCATTGGCCTGTGGTGCGCTTGCGCTTGTCTTGCCGCCTCCTCTTGTTCCCTCTCGCGCACAAATGCATTCTCGACCGACTTTCTTCTTCTTCTTCTTCTTCTTCCTATCTCGCGTCGTTGCTTGCCGTCTGCCACTTTGGATCGGGGCCTGCGTCCCTGATCCTGCTCGGCCTTGTGGTTCTCGTTCTTCTTCTGTTGTTGTTCTCTTTCCTCCTGTCCCTGTCCCTGTCCCTGTGCCTGTCCTTCCCCTGCCTCCGTCCCTTGCCTCCTGTCCTGGGTCCTTGGTCTAATTTTGGATAGATTTTCAGCTCGATATTTACCCAAACATTCCCTCCTCGCTCTTGTCGTAGACGACACGCTCATACAGCTTTTAATCGTTCCAAAGGGGTCCCAGACCCGCTCACCAGTTGTGGTCTCGCAGCCACCGCATCGGCAACCCACAACCATGGCTCTGCATGTTCTTCTGCTCGCGGCCCTCCTGGTGCCCGCCGCCGAAGCTGCTACATGTGGTATCACACCTACATACAACAGCATCATTACGTGTCCCGATGCGCCCTTTGCCGGCCGCAAGATTCGTTACGGTGATCAAATGATGCTTGCTCAAGGTGGCTTCACGGCTGAGCTTGTGAGTGAATGGCAATTTGGCCACCAGCCCCGTTGACCCCATCTTCCCCGTTTGACAAAACCTGAAACATTTCTTCAAACATCTCCTCAGCTCGCCTCGCCACTCATGCATGCTTCGTCATGGATCTGAAATCGCATTGCAGGCCTGCCTATTCAACGGCACATTCACCGGCGGTGACTACTGCACATTTGACTCTGGAGGCAGTGCAAATGACCTCTTTGGTACTGCTTGTAAATGCGAATGCCCAATCAGTACGTCGTCCCTCTCACTCAGCTTTTGAACCCAAGTCAAAGTGCACCACTCCGATCATTCGGTTGGCTCAACCACTCATCCCACGGACCATGGTTTGTCTCTTAGCGCGTGACGGAGCTCGCTGCGAAGAGCTCGGTGCCATTTGTGAGGGCGAGTACGAGTGCCTCAACGGCGGAACGTGCTCCAAGTACCGCAAGTGCTCCTGCAACTATGATTGGACCGGCGATCAATGCCAGACTCCAGTCTGCACGCCCGCTTGCTCCGAAGTCGGCGGCTCTTGTGATGCTTCAAACACTTGCGTGTGCAAGGAACTTCACATCGGTACGACTTGTTCCGACTGTGTTGATGGATATTTTCCAAGCGACGCCAATGGCAGCTGCATTCCCAAGACCTCGCCAGGCTACTGCGATACCTTGGATGTCAATGCCACCTACAACAGCGTATCCACCTCGTGCGAGTGCACTCGTTTTGATTATTATGGCGAACGTTGTCAAGTCGTTTGTCCCCTCTGCTCCACCGGTTATCGCCAGGTCAGTTGGATCACCTCTGCACGACACTGTTTGTTTTTTCTTCGTGCCCTTGGCTACTCTTCAAATTGTTAATCTCTCTCTCTCTTTTTTCCTTGAAGAGTGACTGTCTTTCGCTTGCTGGCACGCATCACATTTTACTTATTCCCTGCCTGCATGTTCGCCTGACGGACATTACTAGGTGGGCGGCTGCCTGCAAAACTCTGGCGTGGTGTGCAGCGCCTGCAGCAAGTGTGGGGCCGATACGTTTGCCGCTGGCGGCTGCGACGGTACCACGGCCGATACCATCTGCCAGCCTTGCTCCAGCTGCCCGGTGGGCACGTTCTTCGAGTACGGCTGCTCCGGGGCGCTAGACCGCGTGTGCAGCGAGTGCAATGCATGCCCGGAGGGATACTACGCGTCGGGCGGATGTGACGGGCTGGAGGACAACATTTGCTCGCCGTGCTCGGCATCGTGCCCAAACGGCATGACGCCGTTTGAAGAGTGCACGGGTGATCACGACCTGGTGTGCGAGGATTGCCCGGCGTGCCCACGGGGCACGGTTGTGGTTCGCTCGTGCAACGAGACGCACCCACAGATCTGCAAGGGCACCATCACACTGCCCGATCTGCCGGCACTGGGCCGCGGCGAGGAGTCAGAGATGCTGGCGTTCCGCTTCTCGAGCGTGGTGACGGAGGCGTTTGAGGTTGTGATTGCGGGTCGCGGCCTGGAGATTATTTTCAACGGGACGACCAATTTTGATGCCAACGATGCGTTGGCGGCGGCCGCGTTCAACGAGACGTACCACTCGCGCACGCTGCCCGTAGAGAACGGGACGCAGCGGGTGTACTTTAAGGTGAAGTACCACACCCCAGCGTCGCAGATTTCGATTCGGATGTACGCCCAGGGGAGTGGGTTGCGCAACTACTTTGAAGTGGACCAGAACCGAACGGCGTATGTGCTGGCGCAGCGGGCCGGACCGAGCGTGTTTGACCAGTGGGGAACGACGTCGCCCAACATGCCACGCGGCAACAACGCGGCGTCGCTGCCGCTGCTGCCGACCAATTTTGTGTTGTGGGGCTCGGACCACTGGACCGAGGCCGAGGACCAGTCGTACGCGTTTTCGTGCGCCATGGTGACGATGGCCATGGTCTCGCCGGCGATGGACATTCCCCTGTCGATCACGGGCGTGACGGTGACGGTCAAGCCGACGCTGTCGTTTTCGGCGGCGCCGGACGACCAGTGTCACGGTCGGCGTCTGTCGGACCTGGACATGCAAGACCTGGTGCTTGTGGCGTCGCTGCCGCGGACCTTTCTGGACCTGATCATGACCAGGCTGCCGCCCTGGTTGGAGATTGAGGCGCAGGAGGGGAAGCTGAGCCAGGGCATTGGTGCCAGCGACGAGCGGCTGTCGGTGATGACGGGGGCCCAGCTGGTGCAACAGGCGGCGGCGAGCGAGTTCAACGTCCAGGCGGAAGACTACTACATTGTGCTGGACTGGCTCAAGCCCAGTGTGATGACGGTGGAAGGGGAGGCCTTTAACGTGGATGACATGGATACGGCGTTTTTGTTCTGCCTGGCGCTGACGGGCGTGGGTGCGGGTGATCAGGTCTTCTTCAACATTCCATCGTCGGTGTGGGAGCTGACGGAGACGCTGACGTTCCGCGACCTCTTGTCGGGCAGCGGGTACGAGGTGGAGCGCACGGACGTGGCATTTTCTCAGGCCTCGGGTCTGACGGCACCAGTGTGCAGTGGCTGCGTGCGGGAGGAGGTGGGTGGTACCAAGTTCTGGAACGGCGATGACACGTTTGTGTATCCGGTGCCGACGTTTGACTTTTACTGGAGCACGGTCCTGACCAAGACGTTGTTTGACGTGGGGGATCCCAAGACGGCGTCGATGAGCGTGGACCTGACGATTGAGGCGCAGACGGGGATCAAGGCAGCCAACACGTACCTGTCGCTGGACAACATGTTCAATGCGCGGTGGGAGGCCTATGCCGAGGGCACGGTATCGATTGACCTCGAGTTTAGCATCTTCAAGAAAACGGGCCGGTGGACGATTGAGACGCGGGCCATGGTGTATGCCAGCCTGGACGGGTCGGGGGTTGATGCCTCGCGGATCGAGTGCGGGTCTGAGTCGTCGCCCAAGGGCATTTTCGTGACGGCGGACCTGGCGCTGGGAGCCTCGGGCCTGGCGGAGAAGATTTCGTCGAGCGCTGTGGGCCAATTTCTGATGCTGACGCCGGGACGCACGGCACCTTTTTACTTTTACATTCCGTACAAGAGCGAGATTATCAACGGCGAGCTGATTGAGACGGCTGCCGGGTTTGGGTTTTTGTTGGAGGACGTCGCTCGGGTGTGCATTATGCCCGGGCTGTGTGGCGATGTGAGCTTGGACTTTATCTACGCAGACAAGGACGTGATTGGGAACTGCGATCCGCTGAAGGCGGCGTATGAGCGGCTGCCAGAGGGTAAGGCGGTGGTGATGCGTGGCAACTTTGATCGCGGGACGGATTTCAATCCGAAGCTGTTTTATGTGCCACAGGAGGCATCTGTGCGTGTGGCGTTGGCCACGTCCGAGTTTGCGTTTGTGTCTCAGATCACGGCCATCTGGCGCTTCCTGGGCCTCAACATCGAGGCCACCCTGGCTGCTGGTTATTCCCAAGGGGTTGCCTTTTTGATGGGTAACGCTGTCGGAAAATTGTTCGACTACCTTGAAGCCGAAGTCAATATCCAGCTTCTGATTCCCGGATTCACGAGTTCGACGCTGATTGACCTGAGCTCAATGTCGATGTCTGTCGATGCGGTGCTGCGTGCAGACCTAACCCGGCTCATTGTTGACGCCGTCACCAAACTTTTGAACCGCTTGAATGAGCTCATCATGGGTCGCATTCGCGCAGCTCTGAAGGTTGTTGAAGACATCATTGCTAAACTTCAGGCCCTTCTCGATGCGATTGGAGGACTCCAGGGCATTGTTGATGCTGCACGTGCTGTGTGGGACGCGGCCATCTCGACTGTTGAGTCGTGGCAACGACAAGTCGAAAACGCCAAGAAGCCAATCAATGATGCTCGTGACGAGATCAGGGCGCTCGAGGCCAAGATTAACAGCATTTGCTCAATTCGCAGCTGCGGCTCCATCTGCATTCCTGGATGCCGCTGGGAGTCGCGCCGCCGTCGCGATTTCTTGGCCGGCCCCGTGCATGGCAATGATGGATTCCTGCCTTCGTCCGAGCAAATGGAACTCGTGCATGCTGAGCGTCAGATGCGCGGCAACGTGTCGTATGCACGCATCTATCACGCCAATGGCACTACCACGGATCGCCGCGATGTGGAGGAGTTTGCGCATCACCCGGTATACCCATCGCGTGCACGTCGTATGCTTCAGGAGCATCGCCGTGGCACTGCCGTGAACGATCGTGTGCGTCGCTGGTCGTGCTGCAAGGTGCCCAAGTTTGTGTGCCGATGGTGCATGTGGCGCATCCCCGATCCCATTTGCGTAGCTGCCAATGCACTTTGTGTCTTGATCCGAGCTCCTTTGTACTTTCTGCTTCGTGTGATTGACGCATTTTTGATTGGTTTGCTCGCTGTCCTTGAGGTCGTTGAAAAAGCACTCGAACTTGCCAAAATTATTTTGGAAAAGTCACAGTTCCTCCTGGATGCCGCAGAGGCGATTCTGGAGAAGGCCCTGGCCGTCTTTGATGTCCTCCAGGTGGCCGTTGACATCGCTCGTGCCGCGGCTCAGCTTATCGAGGACGCAGTCTCCGCCGCATTGAACTTCCTCACACAAGCACTCGGAAACCTTGATAACATTTTGAGCATCCCTGAAGCCAGCTTTGGCTTAACAATCAAGGGCTTTGTTCCACGCCAAATTCGCATGTCGCTGCAAATTCGATCCTTCGTGGGTAACATGGGCTTTTCCATCAAGTTTGACTTTGCCGATGTCTTGTCCAGCATTGCCGAGATTGCCACGCGTGTGTTCGACTCGTTGTTTGGATCGTTCTTCCGCCGGCGCCGCCGCGCGCTGTCGGACGTCCACGTGCCGTTTGTGGCATCGGCAGCGTCACAGCTCAACATCCCGCTGGACTCGATCTTCTACCACGAGAAGAGCCGGGGTGCCCCGCACATGTACAGCATGCACTTGGAGGACGTGCACGCCATCTTGCGCTCACGGCGCGACATTGACAACTCGACCAACTTCACGCTGGACGCGGTGGAGCGAACGCGAAACGACACGATGCTGCTGTACAACGAGTCGTGCGAGATCTTTGAGCTGTCGGCGGCGTTTTTGCTGTTCTTTGCCGATCAGGTGGAGCAGCGGTACCTGGAGTTGCAGGACTTCAAGGAGGGGGCGATCGAGTCTGAGGCGGAGCTGAACCGGCTGAACGAAGATCCGACGGTTATTATCCCGGACATTTCGGCGGACGGGTTTGATGACGACCCGGCCGTGCAGAGCCTGGTGGTGGGATACATTGACGAGACCAACCTGACGGCGATGGCGGACAACATCACGGCGACGGAAGAGGTGACGGAGGCGATGTCGGCTGCGAATGCGAGCCGAAACAACACGGCGGAGCTGCAGGCATCGCTGGAGGACGACGACTACCGAGACCTGATTGCGTCGCTGCAGCTTGAGCTGAACAGCACGGCCGAGCTGGTGGAGCTGGGGTGCGAGGATGTCGGGGACTGCATTGTGTTTGCGGTGGGCCAGATGGCCGATTTATGGGCGCAGGTGGAGCTGGAGGCGTTTGCCGGACTGGACAACGCAAGCGACATAATGCAAGCGTATGCAAACAATCTCACGAACGTGAATCTAACGATAGACGAGGCACACGAGTTTGTCCAGGAGATTCTGACGTGGGTGAATGAGACAATGCACGGAGAGGTGTGGTGTGGCGAGGTGCCGACGATTGTGTCGCAACCGGAGCCGACGCTGCAGGTGTACAGTTTGGTGACGGTCAATTTTACGTGCGAGGTCACGGGTATTCCGGAGCCGACGGTGTACTGGTACCGGTATCCAGAGGACGTGGAGTACATTGCCACGGGCCCGACACTGTACCTGGAAGACGTGACGGCATCTGATTCGGGCAGCTACTACTGCACGGCGGTGAACCACATGTGGACGGAGACGTCGGACCAGGTCAACTTGACGGTGATCGGCGGGCAGTCGACGGAGATTGTGGTGTACTACCAGTTTGCGGAGAGCGACATTGCGGCGGCCGTGGGATCGGACACGAGCTCGTTTGCAGAGGCGGTGCGGCTGCGGGCGGTGTCGTCGCTGGGGCTGTACTCGGACCAGGTTTCGGACTTTAACCTGAACCGCACGACGGGATTTGTGTCGCACGGGATTGTGGCGGGGTCTCAGAACCTGACGCAGGCGGAGGCGCAGTCGCTGGCCATTGACCTGCGGGATCTGATTCGGTACAGTCGGTTCTTGGTGACGTTTAATGAGACGTCGTACAAGCCGCTGACCAACTCGTTCCGGTATGACTATTGTCGAACGCCGTGCCTGGCGATCCAGGAGAACAGCATTTACGGAGAGCCGTGCATGGTGGCGCCGGCGTCGGGCTGTCCTGCAGCGTACTCGACGCAACAGGGGGCGTCGGACGTGTGCCGAGCCAGCCACGAGCACTCTGGATTTGACCGCCAGGTGTACTGCCGGCGACTGAACGACCCACCGTTTGGCATTTCGTTTTCGGGCAACCTGACGGTGGACGAGAACACGCCGGCCAACACGGTGCTGGGCTACTACTCGGCCAAGGACACGGATCCAGCGCAGACGCTGACGTATTCGCTGACGTCGGGCGCGACGGCACTGCAGGTGGACAGCACGTCGGGGCGGCTGGTGATGCGGGTGTCGCCCAACTATGAGCTGCAGCGGACGCTGACGGGCACGCTGCGGGTGACGGACAGCGGAGGCTACTATACAGACAAGGCGATTACGGTGACGGTGCGGGACGTGAACGAGGTCGCGACGGACATTGTGACGCTGTCAGCGCTGACGGTGCGGGAGAATTCTGCGGCGGGAACGCTGGTGGGGATCTTCTCGTCGCTGTCGGAGGAGAAGGCGCAGACGTACACGTACGCGGTGAGTGGGGTGGGGGCGACGTACTTCCACTTTACCGGCAACCAACTGAAGACGACGTCGACGCCGATCGACTACGAGGCGCTCAACGGAAGCATCACGGTGAACGTGACGAGCACGGACAGTGGCACGCCGCCGATGTCGCTGACCAAGGCGTTTGCTGTGAACATTGAAGACCGCAACGACCCACCGGTTCTGGAGGACATTGAGTGCGTGCCGGCATACTGCAACGGCATTCCACCCGAGGCCGGGGTGGGCACGGTCGTGGCGCAGATTGTGGCGACGGACCAGGATGCGGGAGACGTGTTGACGTATCTGCTGGAGGAGGATGAGTCGGAAGGAGTGCTTGGGGTCAATGCGAGCACGGGTGAGATTTACGTGAAGCGTGTGGTGACGGCACAGACGCGATACGTGCTGGAGATTACGGTGGGTGTGCAGGACGACGGCAGCCCGCTGGGGGTGTCGGAGGAGTTTGTGTTTGAGGTTGTAAACCTGTCACCGACAACGACAACGACGACCACGACGACGACGAGCACGACATCGACGAGCACGACCAGCACGACAACGACCAGCACGACGACGACCAGCACGTCGTCGACCAGCACAACGACGACGAGCACGACGAGCACGAGCACAACGAGCACGAGCACGACGAGCACGACGACGACGAGCACGACGACGTTCTTCTCGACAACGACGACGACGACGACGACGGCCAATGTGGCGCCGACGAACCTGCGCCCGACGTCGCTGACGGTGAACGAGGATGCCACGGTGGGCCGCGTGCTGGTGTCGTTTTCAGTGACGGATGGCAACCCAGAGCAGTCGCACACGTACCGGATTGTGAGCGGAGGCCAGGGGTACTTTGCGATGCAGGGGTCGTCGTTGGTGCTGCAGCGAGCACTGGACTATGAGAGCGGGACGCCGTCGTTCTCGCTGCTGATGGAGGTTGTGGACAACGGGAAGAACCCCACACCGCTGCGGCAGCGGGTGACGGTGATTGTGCGCAACGTGAACGAGGCGCCGACGTTGCGGCTGCAGCGGTTCTCGGGTCTGTTTGCGGACAGCAACTCGCTGTACAGCCTGGCCGAGGTGGACCAGCAGCTGGGAACAATTGTGGTGACGGATCCGGATGCGGGAGACAGCCACCGGGCGAGTGTGTCGGGCACGGACGGGGCGTTTATCCGATTGCGGGAGCTGGACGTTTTTCTGGCCGGAGACATTTCGGGCAAGACGCAGCTGTCGTTTTCGCTGACGGTGACGGATGCCGGCGGTCTGTCTGCGACGAACGCTTATGAGTGGAGCATCGTGGCGGCCCCGTCAAATACCGATGCGGGAGGTGCGGGCTCTGGCGCGAGCAATTCGACGGCTTCGCGGGGCTCGTCTGGTGTGGACACGACGTTGATTGTGGTGGCGGTTGTGGTGTTTGCGCTGATTGTACTGGGTACGGTGGCGTATGTGTTTGTGATGCGACGCCGCCGCCAGACGGCGCGCATGGACTTTTTGGAGAAGCTGAAGCAGGAGCACCTGGAGAAGCGGAAGCAATCCTCGCAGACACCGCGGTGGTTTGCGGAGGAGATGGAGGATTCCCAGTCGCTGCATCGCCGCGACTCGAACCGAGTGGCCGACGATGAGTACCTGGCGATGCTGGGTCGGAGCTTGACAATGGACGTGGCGGAGACGAATGCGGACGCCGCGGGCGGCGGGAAGGACGAGCTCTTTGACCTGGACATGGGAGATGACGACGAGGCGACTGAGGTGCCGCTTTCGACACCGCTGCATCTGGACGAACCCTCGACCAGCTTTGTACAGAACCGCCTCTTTGAGATTGAGGGCCAGCGTCGTCCGTCACGTGGCGCCATGCCATAACTTCAACTCCTGGCGGGTTGTGTTCCCTTTTCGTTTCAAGCGTGCTTGAACGCATGTTATTTTTGTTCCTTTTTTTTTTTTTTTTTTTTTTTTGTTTGTTGGTGTTCTGCTTTGTTTTTTTTTAACGTGTTCATCCTTTTTGTTCTCTTTCTTTCTTGTTCTTTTATCTTTTTTTTTCCTGTGTTGTGTGTTTGGATATAAATCAGCTGTCGTGGCTTGACATGTGAGTTGCGATCGTGTCGTAGCTTCACTCGAAGGGGTTCTCTTCTCTTGTGAATAGAAGCTCCTTTGATGGGCCATCAAAACTTTGTGTCTTTTCCGCATTCTGTATCCTAAGCGCTGATGAGTTCATTTGAATTGAATATTAGAAGTCCCACCGCTTTATCACGTGCTACGAGTCACCAAGGACAAGACGATAGCCCGCTTTAAGGGGCATGGCAAAGTGGAATGTGCAAAGTAGAAAGGTAGTCGTTGAATAAGAATTGGCATTTTACAACAAGATTACTTTGGCAATGCGTGTCAATTCCGTCTGATTGTCCGTGTGTTTGCGCAACAGGACGCGGCGTGTTGTTTTGCCAGCACTTGACAACTTGACAAAGCACACATCAAAATCTGAAACAAAAAGTGTGTTAAAAATCAAATCAAATACAATGTACACAAAAGAGCGAAAGAAATTCAAATGACAAAAGCCTTTGAGTGGATAGCTTCAGCTTGTCACGTTGTGAACATTCACATTCTTCATTGCCAGTATTGACGAGGAGCTGTTGAAACAGGCGATGCAAGAAAAGGGATGAGAGCTTAAAAAAAGGCATGCATTGCATGTTCTTGATCCTCTTTTGACTTACGGTAGTTCATCGGCTCCGGCGGCGGCATGCTGTTTGGGAAGACCATCCCACCCTGTGGTGACAGCAGAAGTCACAGCATGGAACCCATGAGAAAAAACGACCAGTCAATCGTGAGGCCACCAAGACAGGGCTTGAAAATCTTGAACAAGGATTTCGTACCTGCATGCCATTGTCGAGTCGTCGGTACATGTTTGCGTTGGCCGAGCGGCGGTTCACAAGCAAAATAACCACCAAGATGGCAGCGGCCAGAAGAACACCAACAACAATCAAAGCTACAGCGATTGGAGTGTGATCCATGCCAGATGAGCTTCCACCCGATGAGGCAGCCGTGTCTGAATCGCCGCTGCTACCGCTCTTTCTGGTCGTGGCAGCTGCGTCAGCATCATCGTCATCATTGGTATTCGCGTTGCCGTCGTCATCGTCGGGATTGTTGTTGTTGTTATTGTTGTTGCCGTTGCCTCGGTTGATGGTGACGTTGAAGGATGTCTCTTTGACACAAATTTCTCCATCACCACGATAGCCTAAAAACAAAAACAAAACAACAACACCAGATCATTGAGTCCTTCGGTCGATCCTGACGGCCATTGGTGAGCAACACAAGAATCATACCTTCTTTGCAGACGCAAGATCGCCCCGTGTAGTCGTTGGCACCGCCAGCTTTGTCGCGGCAAACTGCATTGGTATCACAGGGCACTGTTTGGCACGCGTCCACCTCGATGCACTGATCAGATGCATAGTCGTAGTTCACGCCGGTTGCACACGAACAGCGACGGGTCATTGAGGGCGCGGGTAGGTCGGTACAGGTGGCGCCAGAGCCACACGGCAGCTCGGCGCAAGCGTCATAGTCGTTGCAGGTAGTGCCATCTGCAGTGGCGACATATCCGGTGGGGCAAATGCAGGTGCGACCAGCAATGCCGTCGGGTCCACCAGTGATGTCTGTACACGACAAACCAGAGCCGCATGGGTAGTTCTAACAGCCAATCACCAAAATGCACAGAGATGAGGTTTGCAGGACAAAGTCTGGATATCCGGAGCCTCGCGACAGTGTACCACACAAACGAAGCACATGTCCGACTGACCTCACAAGCGTTAATATCTTGGCAGATGTTGAGATTATCGTTATACTCGTAACCGGAGGCACATGTACAGATGCGGCCGTTGGCATTAATGGCACCTTCAGGGATGTCAGTGCAAACAGTGCCGGCGCCTTGGCAGGGATAAGCGGTGCAGGCGTTGTACTCATCACAGCCATCGCCGTTGGCATTGATGGTAGTTCCTACAAGCACAGAAAAACACACGGCGTGAGAATCGACGCAGTAGCAGCGGCAAACAAAGCAAAACACGTCCGAGGGTTGAGTGAAGGGTGCACATACCATCAGGACAGTCACAAACGCGGCCGTTGGCACCAATGGGGGCCGGCGCCGATCGATCAGTGCACGTCATGCCCGATGGGCACGGATAGTCTACGCAGCTGTCCACCTCGCGGCATGCACCCAAGCGGAAGGTCGTGCCCGAGGGGCAGCTGCAGTTGGCACCATCATATCCTGCCGGTGGTGGCAGGTCCGTGCACGTCTGATCCGCACCGCAGCCACCATTGTTAACCGAGCAAGCATCGATCTGGTTGCAGTCTTCGCCGTCGAGATAGTAGCCCGGGGCACAGGTGCAATAGCGGCCCTGAACCGAGTCATCAGCCGGTGGAACCAGGTCAACACAGATGGCCCGAGCGCCGCAAGGATTGTTGATACCTATTCACAAAAAAAATGTATACATATATATATAAAAAAAAAAAAAAAAAAAAATACAATCAAAAATTTTCGAGCAGGACAATCAACACGACCTGATACAAAAACGTACAGGCATTGATTGAGACACAGCTATCACCGGACAGGCCGTAGCCCTCGGGACAACTGCAAGTGCGACCATCGGTCCCCGCTCCTGCCGGAGCGGGTCGATCGGCACAAGTGGCCAAGTTTCCACAGGGTGCTGTGATGCACGCACTGTCGTACGGTCGCGTGGAAGCAAGTGCACGAAGGGGTGTGATCAGTCAATCCACTTGCAACACGATCTCACAAGATTCCAGCGTCAAGCACTTACTCGATGGGCATGCAGAGTTGCTTGGTGGAGTCATAAGCCAAACCGGCCTCGCAGCTACAGCTGTCACCGTCACCATACTGATTACCCAGGCACGAGCAAGAGCGACCGTCCGCCGAGTTGGGACGATTGGGAAGGTCGGTGCAGGTGGCACTTTGGTGACAGGGGAAGTCAATACCTGGCTCAGCAGCAAAAGAAATGCAAGTGAGAGGATCAAATCGAAAGAAGAGAAAGCGAGAGCAAGATGAAGCTTACAGGCGTCAATGTCTGTGCAGGCGCCGCTGACGTTGCGGAAGCCATCTTGGCACACACAAGCGCGTCGGTTGTTGCTGATGACACATGTCTCGTGGTCGCCGGTGCAGGGGTAGGCCAGGCAGGCACTCGGGCACTCGCCGTTGGCCGTTTCAACGGTGCCATCCGCACATGTGCAAGTACGCCCAGTCGAGTCACCGGGCATGCCTTCCAGGTCAACACAAGTTGCACCCACAGAAGCACAAGGCGAAGTTTCGCACGCATCAATGTCCACGCATCGATTGCCGTCGAGTTCCTGGCCGACGCTGCATGGGGCTTCAATGACCACCAAGCCATCAGCAATCAAGTCATTGCCTCCCTCTGACCAGCCCCAATCAAGGGCAGTATTGCGAACATAGCTGCCGCCACCTCCGCCGTTTCCGTGCGAGGAGTGGCGACCACCACCCCCACCTAGAGAGAAGTGAAATTCCCATGGGATGTGGTGCGGTGAGCCAGAGAAGGCCGTATCTCGAGCAACAGCACGCAAGCCTGAAGGTGCAAAGTTTTGAACTCATGGCAACGAACCAGAGTAGCCGCCGCCGCCACCGCCTTCATAATATCCAGCACCACCTGAAACGAGCATGCAAAAAGAAATAGCGATGCAGCAAGTCAAGTTGAGATAATGCCTAACCATAGTGAGCAACAAAACGACCAGACTCACCACCGCCGAATCCGCCAAAAAGGTATTCGGTCGTAGAAGTCGAGGGTAAACCGCCTGATCACATCATCGAAGCGTGATTCATGAGATCCATTGCAAGGTCTGCTTAACGGAAGACCTAAAAATGGGACGGATGGCCAGAACGCACCGACAAAGCCTCCGGGTCGACCATAACCACACATCTGGCTAGAGTACAAGCAGATGGCATCACCGCGCCAGCCACCGCCACCTGGCAAAAAGCATAACTTGTGAGCCTCGGAGGACACAGCACAATCGTTTTATTTGCAAATGTCACAACACTTACCACCAGCAGAGCCAAATGAGCCGCCCAGGGTGTAACCAACACCACCATAACCATGTTGACCTACAAGGGAGCCAGAAGACAGTGAGTGATGCAAGTCCAAAAAATGATTGAGCTCAAGGCCAAGAAAGCTGCGGTTCCGAATGAATACCGCCATGTCCACCGTAGGGAAGACTATCGCTACCGCGTGTAGAGGCACGACCGGGCTGTCCCCAATACTCTTGACTCCAAGAATTGTAGCTAGCACCGCCTGTGGAAGGCATGTCCAATCAGGTGCGCCAGTCGGGAATGAGATAAACTCAAAACACTTAAACCACGCAAGATGTCATGCCAATCCGGGAAATCAAACTTACCACCACCACCAGCGACAATCACTGAGGTGTCGTGCAAAACACAACAATTTGTATCAAACATGCAAAAGCAGCCAAGAGGTCAGAATGAGAAGGGTTGCGGTTGGAGGATAAGAGAGAGATATGCTGGCAGGGCTGCCGCGCGTACAGGGTTCGTCGTCATCTTCATCGAGCCAGACAAAAGTGCCTGTGTTGCAGCAAAAGAGCCCCCAAAATTCAGTGACGGTCGGGTGTTCAGAGGCGCTGAGACAGATAATGCAGCACCAGCTGTGACGAGAAACGCCAAGCGACTTGGGTCATTTGCGTACCTCCACCGCCGCCGCCACCGTTGTCAGTGGTGTAGCTGTTATCAGCGCCGGGAACAGTGCCAGGCTGCCCCACGACGACGTTAATGACGGAATCCTTGGCCAAGCGGAACTTGCCCCAAACATACGCGCCATGGCCACCACGATAAAGTGCGTTACCATCGCTACCCAAATACAGAAAAACAAGAAGACACGCAGTGATGAGCAAAACGCCAAAAATAGAGCTGGAGAAGTGAAACAAGAGACGCGCAGATAGAACCCACCGGGCATTGCCACCGCGGGCACCGTATGCGCGAATCGTGTAGACGCCTGGCTCAAGAATAGCACAGTCCACTGAGAGCGACGTATGGACACGGACACATCAGTAGCAAGCCAGCGAGACCGACGAACCAGCCACGGGAATGGTAATCTGCTGCACTCCGCCGATGACACTGTCAAGAAGTCGGCCTGCCTCTGAAGTACCATAGTAGCTCCTGCAGTCTTGTTCGTTGGGGCCAAAGCGACCCTTGGCGCCTGAACGAGGCGGAGTCAGCCGAGTTATTTACACTGATGGCAAAGCCATTCGAAGCTAGCATGGCCTCTGTTCAGACGTACCACAGCTAGTCAGGAAGATATCAGCCAAGGTGTTGTCAAGCTCCTCGACGGTCAAACGGCCCTCAAGACGATCAGTGTTGGCGCCGGCAATGGCACCGTGAACCAAACCGCTAGAGTAAGAGCTGCCACCACCACCACTGCCGCTTGAATAACTGCCACCGCCACCACCGTTCTGCGCATGTTTGGAGTAAAGAATCATGATACACGGTGAGCTGGCAAAGTCACGGTTCCCACAACAAACATGGCTTGGTCTGGAATACTGACGTAGCCGCCGCCGCCGCCGCCTTCATAAGAGCCGGCACCACCTCCTCCAAAGCCACCCTATGGAAGAATTTGTGTGAGGACCTGACAAAAGCATCTACGCAAACTGTAAGCAGACACTAGCAATGAGCTCTCAGGGTGAGGACGGTCACACCTCAAAGTAACCGTTGTTCCAGGTGTTGAGGCCGCCATAAAACCCTTCGTCGCGACTGTGGCCACAATAGTCCGAGTAGGTGCTGCAAGTGCCCTTGCCATACCAACCTAAGGTATGCAGCCCATTGATGTGTGCGTGAGACCACATAAAAATGAACAGGCCCACAATGTAAATTTACTCTGGTCAAATTTCACGTACCAGCACCAGCACCACCGTCATAGGCATTCGTGGTACGAGCAATTCCACCAACACCACCCGTGCCACCGGCCCCGCCAGACGGCAACGCGGCACCACCGTTCCCAGCACCAAGACCAGGGCGGCCATTGTAGTTGCTATAGCCACTGCCACCACCACCTGGGCAAGCGCGCAAGCGCAATCGTACGTGAGGAATGACATGTCGTTGAAAGACACAAGTACTAGATCACAATACATAGCAAACTATCTTACCACCGCCAGCAACTAGGAGCGGAACAGATGCGTTGTCTTGGCGCCACACAAAGGTACCGCCGCCGCCACCGCCACCCCAGTTTGCACCACCATCAGTGCTACGGTGGTTGCCCGGCTGGAGATATCAAACACGATGAGGCACGTGAAGCATTCGTCGTTCGAATCACGGAAGGAAACCAAAAATTAGAGAAGAAAAAAAGAAAAGAAAAGAAAAAATAATAAAAGTTAACAAGAAAACACATGAGGACATGCCACACCATTGGCCAATGTAGCAAGACATTCATTCATGCAGAGTGTACCATACCTGTCCAACCAGCACATGGAGGATTGTGCCTGCGGTCAGTCTGAAAATACCCCAAGCCACAGCCCCCGGGCCTTCATTCAATGATGCGCTATGCATTGTTGTCCACAGCAAAGGCCAAGGACAATGGGTGAGTAAAAATGGACGCGGGTGGACCTCGAGTACATCCCATATAACGACCAACCTGACTTCTGGGATACGTGGCCGGCCACCCGCAGCTCCTTCAGCGGTGCTAACAAATGAAACAGAGGCGTGAGGTCCAAGGGCACAACGGTGACGATAAAAGGCAGCGCGAGGAGGGGCTTGAGACCAAAGGAACAAACATCTTGTAGAGACCAGTCCTGGGAACCTTGAAGCGCTGAATGCCACCCGTGATACTGACTAAGCGACACGTAAGAATCGCAATAGTCCAGTGAGCAAAACAGCGTTGAGTTTCTGTATCACGTAAGCTCATGGATCAACTTAACATACTGAGCGCGGCCTCGGTCTGCGAGTCTGTGTACTCTGCACGACAGTCAACGGCCTATGGGTGGATTTCAAAGAAGCGCGAGCTGTTCAGAACTCATTGCATGCATGACCGACCACGAGGCATCGAAGACTAAGAAGGTGCAAGGTGTAAGGACGGAACTGACCGAAGGTCCCGTGCGACCTTGAGCACCACAAGGGGTGAAGATGAGCTGTGTCAGGTTGTTGAGCATCGAAGGTGTCAGGAGGGCAACTTCCAAGCGACCATCGTCATAGGGGCTGAGGGAATGCACTGTCTCGCCGATTGCACCAGTGATTAAGCTGCCACCACCACCGCCAGCACCATGCGTGTGGTAGCCTGCAAATGCGAAAAGGGGCAGTGGTCAATTAGAGCGGTGCAAGGAGATTGAGTCGCGCGGGAGGGCTTGTCTCGACTGTATGAACGTACCTCCGCCACCTCCAGACCAGCCACCGCCACCGGATCCTTGGCTGCCACCACTGCCGCCGCCACCAAAACCACCTACATACCCCAGGCAATAATTCATCAATCAAAAACGCCCAAAACCAAAGTTAGCCAAAAGAGTTTGATGCATCTCTTGAGAGCGAATTGACTTGTGCGGGCTGATTCGAACCTTCGTGATAAATGGTGCTAGAGGCGGCAACACCGCCAGTAAATGTTGGATAGGCCTTGCCGCAGCGGGTCTCATAGCCGGTCAAGCAGACGCCGTCGGAACGCCAGCCAGCACCGCCGCTGCCGGCCGCATTGCTGCACACAACAGTAACCAAAGCAAGCGCGTAAGTTACTTGCAGAGCCGGGGCGGAGGATCATCTGCACGGCTTCCGTACCTGCCCTGATTGGGCTGTTCGCCACCATTGCCATCAACGCCGCCGCTTCCGCCAGTCGGGACCGCATTGTCTCCTGGGCAAGCAGCCATAATGTCAGTAGAAGTCTGCCACATCATAAAACGCTGAAGGGCAACGCTGTTCCTCACCCGAGGCACCCTGAGGCGCATCACCGCCATAATAGTTGTTGGCATCTAAACAGGAAGACGCGAAAGGAAAATGTGGTTAAAAAATAAACATCGTTGCTCAAATCAAAGGCACTCAGGAGAAGAACAGCATCTTAAAACAGAGGCCTACGACTTACAGGAGGCACCGCCGCCACCGCCAGCAGCAAGCAGGGGTGTGCAGTCCCCTGTATCACACAGGGTAGGGTCCCAAACAAAAGTTGCACCTGTCGCCCATCAACCCGCAAGATGAAAGGTGAGTTTGGAAGTCGGGGAAGCACGGCTCGAAGCCATCGCGTGGTGTGACGTTTGGCACAAACCACCGCCGCCACCGCCGACATCAGAGTTCAAGTTGTGGGTCTGACGATACTGGCCGTTCTGGCCAATGACAACTCGCAGATTTTGGCCCTGTGCACAAGCAAGAAGGCCGAGCGACGCAGCCAAGCGACTCCAATGAGGGATGTACGACACAATGCAACCCTTATTTGAGAACTCCAGGTCTGCATGCATTTGATGCGTACAGCAGTGAAATGATAGACACCCGAAATCATGGCACCCTTGCCACCTTGACGCAAGTAATCGGCCTATGGGCGCCCCACAAGATAAACATTAGACTTTGAAAACATTCTCATGGGGACGCCTGAGAAGAAAAGGCAGGGATGCCAGCGGCACACCTACCACAGCATCTCCTCCCTTGGCACCGTACGCTGTCATGCGATAAAAGCCGGTGACGGGGATTTCAATAGTTTGAATGCCAGAGGTCACGCTAGAGTACAGGCCAAGCTGATCCCGCAGTGGCGTGTAGGTTTGCTGGCAATCTTGCGAGGATGGGCCAGTGCGGCCCTGTGCACCGCAAGGCGTCAGGATGGTCAAGTTGCGGGTTGCATCGGCAGGCATGTCTACCATCTGAAAGCGAACGTAACCATGGTCCAAAAAGTTGCCGCCATCAACACCACCAGTGCTGAAGCCAGAAATGAATGAACCACCGCCGCCACCGCCGCCATGACCCGTGTTACTGGTGTAAGTGTTACCACCACCTAATGGGGTATGCGATGGCGAGTGTCAATAAGCTACCAAATAACAATAATAGCATGGTGGAATGTTTCAATGCGAGGAAGCCGATGTACTATGCCTTACCACCACTGTAGCCACCACCACCGCCACCCTCGTAGCAGGCACCACCACCACCGCCGAAGCCGCCTGGGTTGCTAGCTAAAGACGAAATGTCTTGACCAAGGCCACCAATAAACTATGAATGAAACAGGATGAACGTGCATGAGCCGAATGCCTCAAGTGCAAGGAAAAGAAGAAGAAAAAAAAGTTGGGACGAGAATATCGGGTGCGTGATGACCACTTCTTACGCCGTTGTCTTTGCCTGAACCACCCATCTCAGGATAGTAGTTGGATGTTGCACCGCTACGGAAGCCACCGCCGCCGCCGCTGGTGTATGCCGTTGCAACAGCGCCACCGTAACCGCCTTTGTAAAAATAAACAACAAAAAAGCGTCAGCATCAAAATCTGCACTGTTATCCAAAGTATAAAGAGTAAAAGAATACGCACCACGACCGGTGCAACCGCCTTCGCTTGCCATGTAAGAGTAACTGCCGCGACTACCGCATTCGCTGGCGACACCAGGCAAGCCCCAGTAACCGGAAGCAGCGCTAGCATACGAAGCGCCACCACCACCTCCCGCGGCAATAATGGGCTCGTTCGCGTCGCCAAGCCAAACAAATGACCCGCCGCCGCCGCCGCCGCCACACGAGGTACTAAGCATGCGATTGGGCTCTCGGCCGTGCTGTCCAACAACCACGCTCAGTTCGGTGCCAGCCGCAAACCAATGTGTGCCCCAAACGATGGCACCCTTGCCGCGACGATACCACTCGCTAGAAAGGGCGCGAAAGAGGATAGAAAAGAAAGGCGGTGAAACATCCGGAGGGAACAGTGAGACATGGCAGCAAGTGGCCCATCCTGTTCAAGCCGTTTGAAAAGCAACGGGAAGAAGCAGGGAATCAAAGACGCACTAATTTTGACTTTCATCTGAGCGGGCACGACCACCCGAGGCACCAGCAGCCGTGATTTTCCACCAGCCAGATTGAGGGATGGTGATGGTTTGCACGCCAGCCGTGGTGGTCTTGTAAAACTGTCGACAATAGAAAAGACAAGATGAGGCTGCAGGGCAACATCGCGTCGCATGTCGTTCAGGAGTGCCATGTTGTTGCGAGAACACGGACCGCGGTGTAGTCTGTTAGCTTGTTGTAGTGGGTCAAGCACTGTGCGGTTGAGGGACCAGCGGAGCCTTGAGCTCCGCAGTTGGTGAGGAGAAAATCATCCGAGGAGACTTGGCGAAAGACGACGCGACCATTTTCCTGATCGTTGCCCCCCATGGTCCAATCTGAGAGTAGGGCTTCCGAGCTCCTGTATGAACCGCCACCACCACCGGCGCTATAAGAGGAACCGGATCCGGGGCTACCACCACCACCAGAGTAGCCGCCTGATGAACGGAGAATGAGTCCCAAAAGCGGAGTGCGCGTCAGAACTGAACGGAGGCAGCAAGGCGGAGGAATGCAGTGGAACAGGCGTGGCAACTCGAGTACATGACATACCACCACCGCCGCCTTCTTCCAGGCTGCCGCCACCACCACCAAAGCCGCCTTCAGCGCCACCAGCGCGACCTGGGCGGCCACCGAGGAAGCCGCTGAGGCGAGACATGCCACACATGTGGGCGTTGCCATCGGTCAAGCAAAGACCCTGTGATAAGCGAAACAAGAGTATGCAAATCAAATGAGAGGCTGGGGCCTTGGAGCACGAGTAGAACAGAGGAGTGGAGGCAACAGTAAAGATGTTTGCTTGAACACGAAGCGAGGGAAGAAGAAGAAGAAGAAATGCAAGTTGCTTGTGACGCACATCGCTTAGCCAGCCAGCACCGGCACCACCACCGAAATAACTGTTCTCGGTAGCTTGTCCACCCGCCCCGTTCTTGCCGCCTGTAGGTTTGCTGTCGTGAGAGCACGCCAGTGCTACGGTTGTGGTAGGGGGAGGAGAAAAAGGAAAGCGCAAGATGCGAAAAGAAAGAAGATAGAGACGAACCGGCATATCCGGCACTCGAGGAACGACCCGCTTCATCGGCGCGGCCCGGGTAGCCATAATACGTGCTTGAGTAGTGAGAGGCACCACCGCCGCCACCTACAGGAGGGACAGGAGATGCGGATTTGTGCTATTGGTGAGCGGCTGTACCAACGCGCTCTTCGTCGGACGTAAAAAAAGTCTTGTGGTCGTGCCGTGTCGCCGTACCAGCAACGAGGAGAGGGGCAGGGGCGTTGTCACGGAAGATAAAGGTTCCACCACCGCCTGCACCGCCCAAATTGGCCGACACGGTTTGGGAAGCATCGCGATCAGAGAAAAAGTTGCCACTCTGGCCCACAACAACCTGCAACTCTTCGCCCTACAGACACCAAATGAAACGGGAGTGGTTTCACAAGGTGAGACGAGAGCAAGGCAAGGGACGAGGACTGTGGCGAGGAGTGCAAGCACGACGGGGCTCACCTCGGTGAAGGAGAAGATGCCCCAAACTTGGGCACCATTGCCTCCCACGTTGAACTGTGAGTCAGTACCGCCGCCGCGGCTGCCACCACGACCACCGTAAGCCTCGATGCGCCACATGCCGGCGGTCGGGATCTGAGAAGCATGGCAGTTTCAAAGAATGCCGGGGTGAGAGTAGGTGATGGCAAGGGCCAAGCGCGATGCAGTGGGAGGGGCGCGAACCTTGATCGTTTGGACACCAAAGCCAGTGATGCCCCCAAACCAGGAACTGTTGCCATAGTAGTTGATGCAGGCATCATCGGTTGGGCCAATGCGGCCCATGGCACCGCAAGAGGCGACTTCAAATTCGATGGCAGCATGAGCGGCAGCGATCACGGTTGTCATCACGACCGCCCAGGCCGCGACCGGCGGAATGGGCCGTGGAGGCGCCATACCTAAACACGCGGGGGCGACCATGGCAATCCGGCAACAGTTTGAGAGTGACGCGGCAGGGAAATGATGGGCGGATGCGCGCTACAAGTTCACCAAGGAGTGATGTGGGATCGAGATGGGTGCGGTGTCAATGGCTGCGGTGACTGTTACACACCTGGTCGAGGCAGCACGCCGATGGACGGCTGCCGACGGAAGCGAGAAGCGAAAGGATAACCTTGGACTACCAGAGATCAAGAGTGCCAAGGGGGAACGTATCTATTGAAAAAGAGGGGGGGGGGTCCAGGGAAGACCAAGAATCGGGGCCGGCAAGGTGAGTTTGGCGTAGTGGCGCGACGAGAGCTGCACCAGCCCGAAGAAAGGAGAGAGAAAAAAAAAAAAAAAAAAAAAAAAAAAAAAAAAAAAAAAAAGAAAGCAACGGCGTCGTGTCTGATCCTTGACCATGGGCGCTGCCGAGCACACGAAGACACGAGCGTTTCAGCTGCATGCCCACTGGCAACTATAAACGCCGCAAGCGCCAGATCTCTTTTGTATGGAGAAGAGGGGAGGAGTACGCTGCCCTTTTGCTGTCGCCTTTCACCCGCTGTCGCCGCCCCTCAAAACAGTGTGTCGCCACAAAGCAGCCACAACGAACGACAGCCCATTCATGGAGACACCACCACCACCAACGCCTTTTTCTGAGTCAGGCGTAGAGGTAGTACCAGACATGGACACCGGCACCCCCACCCCGCATACAGACGGTGCAGGCATACGGGGACGGGAACACGGGTACGGGGACGGGCACGGGCCAGTCGTGGCAGGTGCATCAAGTCACTCACCCGCTCATTCAAATGCCAGAGAGAGAGAGACAGAGAGAGACAGAGAGAGAGACAGAGAGAGAGACAGAGAGAGAGACAGAGAGAGAGACAGAGAGAGAGTCAGACAAGACACAGAGACAGAGAGCCAGAGACAGAAAGACAGAGAGAGAGAGAGATATGAGAGAGAGACAGAGAGAGAGAGACAGAGAGAGTAAGAGTGAGAGATATGAGACAAAGGCAGAGAGAGAGCATCGACAACAAAGGCAGAGAGACAGAGAGACAGAGAGACAGAGAGAGACACACACAAAAACGGGACCCAAACAAACCCATCCATTCTTTTGTTCTCTCTCTCTCTCTCTCTCGTTCTTTCTCTCTCTCTCACTCTCTCATCTTCTTTTGTTCGCTTGCAATTTTTCGTTTTTTTTTTGGTGACAGTGGTTCAAGCATTATTGATTCCAGATCAAGCGAGCAACACACGCACACACACGCACACGACACGACACGGCTATATCCATCGCTTTGAATCGACAACAGCACATCTATACCTGTATGTACCCGTACCTGCACCTGTACCTGCACCTGTACCTGCACACCTTTGTACCTGCACCAGCACCAGCACCTGATCTGTTTTTTTTGGAGAGCGATGCACTCTCGGTGTGTGATGCGCCGGACCTCCGGAGCCAGTATCCGAGCCATGGGAATCTTACGTCATTGGTAAAATCCTTTGCATTGGGGAGACGTCGCGGTCCAACGGGTCGGGGCGCTAAAGGTGTGCGACCTTTGGGGTAGGCCATGTCCTAAAAAGGTTGTCGACGGTCCTTTCATCACAATTGGTCGACGTGATACTTAAAGATTAGAGATTATAACACGTCGATGCAACGTGAATAAAGAATCGCGGAGCTGTGCACCACCCACAACATCTGAGTTTGAGCCCATTGAGACCCATACTTGAGCGACGACCGCGCAATTTTCCCAAAAGCCCCCTGGGGCTGTGAATCACAAGATTCAAACCTCTGAAAAGACTTCACAACAAATCCACATCCTCTGAATTACCTCTGCTTATACCTTTATTTTTGAAGCTGGTCCCCCGAACGCTCAAATATTCTCTGCCTTTTCCACCCTCACATGCACCACCTTCTTCAACACGATTCCCCCTTCGTTCGGAGCCTATGAAATTTGTTTTGGTTCAAATGTCAGAGCTGCCAGTGGCGATTGAACAGACCGGTTTTCTTCATTCCGTTGTCTGCTATCGCTTTCTTATTCTCTCTCTCTCTCTCTGTCTCTCTCTCTCTCACAAGCTCTCAAGCTCTCTGTCTCTCAAGCTCTCTGTCTCTCTCTCTCTGTCTCTCAAGCTCTCTGTCTCTTTCTCTGTCTCTCTCTCAAGCTCTCTCTCTCAAGCTCTCTCTCACAAAAGCTCTCTCTAAAGCTCTCTCTCTCTCTGTCTCTCTCTCTCAAGCTCTTTCTGTCTCTGTCTCTCTCTCTCAAGCTCAAAAAGCTCTCTCTCTGTAAAGCTCTCTCTCTGAAAGCTCTCTTACAAAAGCTCTCTCTCTCTGAAAGCTCTCTCTCTTCTGAAAGCTCTAAAAACCTCTCTCTCTCTCACAAAAGCTCTCACTCTTCGCTCTCCTCACTCTCTCTCTCTGGCTTGTGGCTCGTGCCGGGGGTCTCACTCTCCTGTTGCAGCTCGGTGCCTGAATCACACCCGAGAGAGGGATATACAGACACATCCCCCCCCCGGCGGCGCCTTCAGGCCGGTCTGCCTCTCATCTCTGCAGAGGCTCATCTTGTATACCAGTGCAAAGTAGGTAGAGCGCTGTCTTGCTGCCGTTCAGGCTTGGCACCTGCGCGACGCTCGGCTGCCAAAAGACGAAGAGACATTGACACCCCACCACTGCACTCTTGATCGCGCGCGCACGCCTCGTACTCTCGCTTCCGCACTCACGGTTGCTGGATCACCTCGCTGTCGCTGCCTCTTGCCCTGAGCAGACTCTTTTTTCCTCCCCCTTGCCCCCCTCTTCCCTTTCGACTTTTTCCTTGTGGCTCGGGGCAGGATGGTGCGGTCCACCTGCCACCGCGGCCGGTCGCTGCTGTTGCTGGCGACCGTCGCGGTCTGGGCCACCCTCGCTGGTCAGCGCTTCCCCCCCTTTACTTGAACTCTGGCCCTCCTGCCCACTTGCGATCCGTTAGCGACCGCCCCAACCCTTGCTGCCGCTTACCTTGTCTGCCTCCCTCCCCGTGCGCCAATAAACCCCATCAAAATAGCTGCGCGCACCGAGTATATTCTCAGCACTTGCGGTGCCGTTGGTACGTCCGTACCCCTACCCCTCCCCTGTCACGGATGGCTCTGTGCAATGAATCAATGTCGGGATGACATTCAGTAACATCCGGGCCCATCGTCGCTCATTCGTCATTTGATCTCTCATGCTCAACAGGTCGCCGTGGTCCTACCTATGCTCAATGCGCGGCCATCAATGCCGATGAGCCCTGGTTTGACGGCGTTGAGGGTTTTGGCATTCAGCGTTTCAAGGTGACTGTGACCTCGCCCCCCTCCTCCCTTGACTCTCCCTTGCCTCGTTCAAAACCAACCCTGTCATGGCATTCCTCCCCCCTCACCTCTTGTCTCCCCTCCAACCCGTAGGTGCCCGTGTCAGGGACCTATCGATTTGATCTCTATGGTGCGCGTGGTGGCGATGGCAACCAGGGCTCATCACGCTTAGACGGTGGACGCGGCGCCCACACCTGGGGCTACGTCAGTCTTGAACAGGTCAGCAAGACAGCCATGCTGCATCCACCGTCTTTACAAGCTTGAGCCAGACAAGCTCTCTCCTTGTAACCTTCACACAACCCCATGCCCCCCCCCCCCCCCC